AATAAGTCTTTACAAAAATGTCAAGTTAACCTTGACTGAATTCCAACTAAAACAGTAATTAGGAAACTGGCATTATGTGTATAGCCTTAATTTCAGAATCTAAGTTTTAAAGTGAAATTTAGCAGCCTTTAAAAAAAATATTGGGATACTTTGATTTTCTCAAGCCCAATTCAGGAATAGAAAAGCGAACACAAGAAATGTTTTAATTCTGAACTTCTCTACAAAAATACCTGAAAATACCAGAAAAGTGTTTCCTCTTCTGAAGGTCCCCTAGTATAGAAGATGGGATTAGGGAAGAAGAAGTAGTCATGGCACTACAGACACTTCCTCTCAAGGTCCCTTCAATTCTGAAAGACCTGGAGAGAAAGACAAGCTGATGGCACTGTCCCAGATACACACGGCTGACCTACGGTGTGCCAGGGCTGCTTCGGTCTTCCCAGCAGGGTGTTCAGGCAAACCGCTTGGGTATTTTCCAGGTGGGTACATTCCACCTGTGTTGGGTATTTTCCAGCACTGGTGTGGTTCAGTCTAATTTGACATTGAGAATGTAAAAATTACACCAAAATATGGTAGAAGAGTATCAGCTATCATCTTAATACCATTTCTTTTACTTTTTATTCAGCTCATGCACTAATTCAGAAAGTGCCTGAACATAAGATTAAGCAGAACAGGCAGCTGCCAGTGAGTTGAAAGGTGGGAACTACAGGAGAGACTTCCCCGCAAGTCATGCCATTTTAGTCGTATTGAGAGGGAGGGCTGCTAAGGCATGTAAGTTAAGTGCATACTGTCTCTAAAGAGAGGAGTTAGTTTCAAATTAATAGTCTGTGAGCTGTTAATATCTTGGAGCAAAAAACTTTTCCAATTACTTATGAGAATAAGCATTTAAGATAGAGGTGGACCCAAGACAGATAAATTCTGGTAAAAGTAAAAAGCCAAGTTCGAAACAACATAGAGAAATGGGACGCTACAGTGGGGACCCCAGCCCACCTGGAAGCTGAGCTCAACATGCCCAAAGTGAGGTTCTCAGAGCAGAGGGAAAGGCACCCAGACACACCGTTTACACTCTTATCCTGAAACTGCCCGGGAAGCTCTGGCCTTTGTCAGGAGGGAGAACTTCCCTTTACTCTGTGATAAGCACAATTTGGCAATTGTTTACTGTTTATAATATTATGTTATACATGAAAACTATACTTAACTAAAAATTAATCTTTTTTTAACAGTTTTATTTATTTATTTTTTTTGTGAGGAAGATCAGCCCTGAGCTAACATCCATGCTAATCCTGCTCTTTTTGCTGAGGAAGACCGGCTCTGCGCTAACATCTATTGCCAATCCTCCTCCTTTTTTTCTTTCCCCAAAGCCCCAGTAGATAGTTGTATGTCATAGTTACACATCCTCCTAGTTTCTGTATGTGGGATGCGGCCTCAGCATGGCTGGAGAAGCGGTGCGTCGGTGCACACCTGGGATCCGAACCCGGGCCGCCAGTAGCAGAGCGCACGCTTAACTGCTAAGCCACGGGGCCGGCCCCTAAAAATTAATCTTAATAACTTCGAAAAAGAATAATCATTTGATTCACAAAATCCCAATGTATTTTAAGGGCCCAATAGGGTAGACTGGCATATATAGCTAATATTATCAATAGAGGTGAACCCTAAAATCATTTGCACCCCTCTTGCCTAGATTGTCATTATAAAGTACTGTCCTTGCTGTAGTTAAAGCTTCAAAGCACATGAAACAAATTTGCCTTTTTCCTATAGAATTTGTATTTAAGCACTACCTAGTTTCTGTTAATGCCTAAATAGGTATATAAGCTATGTTTATAACAGTAGTTCTAAAGAAGAATTATCCATTAAGTCATACAGGAGTTTGGACTATCCAAGGTCATAAGTGAGCAGGCTTAAAAATAATGATCTGAATATTGCTTACATGATCAGGTTAAACACATACTGTGAATTCTTTTAGTTTGGAGTAACGAAAATATTTGAAAAGTAATTTTAATATTGAAAAATGTCACTGTGATTATTCTTCATAGAATAACAAACGTGTGTCTATAGTAGTACCTTTTAAAGGACTACACTTCCTGTTCAATTCAAAACAACAAACGCATATTGAGATCTACTATAGGCAAGAAAGACATTGTTCTAGGAATTATAGATATTGTAGTGACAGGAACACATTTGCTTCTCTCAACATGGTTAGAGTCTAAACAGATAATAGAACAAATATAACTAACCAGAATATAGGCAAATAGATTAAATCTATAAAATTGGGGGGATCGAGAAAGGATAGTGGATACGTGGCATCTGTGATGGGCACTGAAGGCTGGTCAGGGTCCTGGTAATTAGAGACTGATGATAGAGGCCATTCTAGATCAAGGGAATCAGCATGCAGATATTAGGTGTCTTCACCTAAAAATGTGTAGTCCAATTTGGTGAGTGTGACGTGTAGTGCAGTTTGAGATGTAGTTCTTATTATAAGCATTTTTAAAAAAAGTATCAAATAGAGCAAACAATCCTAAAATTTGTATGGAACCACAAAAGACCACGAATAGCCAAAGCAATCTTGAGAAAGAAGAACAAAGCTGGAGGCATCATGCTCCCTGATTTCAAACTATATTACAAAGCTATAGTAATCAAAACAGTATAGTATTGGTATAAAAACAGACACACAGATCAATGGAACAGAATACAGAGCCCAGAAATAAACCCAAGCACATATGGTCAATTAATTTATGACAAAGGATCCAAGAATATACAACAAGGAAAGGACAGTCTCTTCAATAAATGGTGTTGGGAAAACTGGACAGCCCCATGCAAAGGAATGAAACTGGACCACTATCTTACACCATGCACAAAAATGAACTCAAAATGGATGAAAGATTCGAATGTCAGACCTGAACCCATAGAATTCCTAGAAGAAAACATAGGTGGTAAGCTCCTTGATATTGGTCCTGGTAATTATGTTTTTGGATCTTACACCAAAAGCAAAGGCAACAAAAGAAGAAATAAACAAGTGGGTCTATATCAAACTAAAAAGCTTCTGCACAGCAAAAGAAACTATCAACAAAATGAAAAGCCAACCTACTGAATGGGAGAAAATATTTGCAAATCATAAGGGATTAATGTCCAAAATATCTAAAGAACTCATATAATTCAATAGCAAACAAAGCAAAACAAAACAACCTGATTAAAAAATGGGCAGAAGATCTGAATACACATTTTTCCAAAGAGATACAGATTGCCAACAGATACATGAAAAGATACTCAACATCACTAATCACCAGGGAAATGCAAATCAAAGCCACAATGAGATATCACCTCAGACCTGTTAGAATGGCTGTTATCAAAAAGACAAGAAATAAAGTATTGGTGAGGATGTGGAGAAGGGGAACCCCTGTGACTGTTGGTGGGAGTGTACACTGGTGCAGCCACTATGGAAAACAGTATGCAAGTTCCTCGAAGAAAAAATAGAACTACCATATGATCCAGCAATTTAACTTCTGGGTATATACCTGAAGGAAATGAAATAAAGATCTCGAAGAGATACCTGCACCTTCATGTTCATTGCAGCATTATTTACACTAGCCAAGACATGGAAACAACCTAAATGTTCATCGATGGATGAATGGATAAAGAAAAGGTGGTATGTATATACAATGGACTACTATTTAGCTGTAAAAAGAATGAAATCTTGTCATTTGCAACAACATGGATGGACCTTGAGGACATTATGCTAAGTGAAATAAGTCAGAGAGAGAAAGATAAATACTGTATTATCTCACTTATATGGAATCTACAAAAAAAAAACAACAACAAAAAGCAAATGAGCTCATGGATATAAAGAGTAGGGGTAGCGGGGATGGCCAAAATAGGTGAAGGGAGTCAAAAGGTATAAATTTCTAGTTATAAAATGAGTAAGTCATGGGGATATAATGTACAGCATGATGACTATAGTTAATAATACTGTATTACGTATTTGGAAGTAGCTAGGACAGTGGATCTTAAAATTTCTCATCATAAGAAAACAATTTTGTAACTATGTATGATGATGGATGTTAACTGGACTTATTGTGATAATTTTGCAATATATACAAATATGGAATCGTTACATTGTACACCTGAAACTAATTATAATGTCAATTATACCTCAATTGAAAAAAAGTTATCTGTATATTTTGACTCTATTTATCGGACCACCTTGTTGAAGAATACATTCCTCTGGGCTCTAAAAGAATGTTTCTTCATTTGTGTATTATTACAGTGAATAGATTTGGTGAATGTTTACAACAGATTTCTTAATAAGCAAATGATAAAGCTAGTTTATATCTTTACACTGACTCCTGTATTCCCTCATATTATGCTTTGTCTACTTTTTAGGTCTTCCTTTGACTTATCTCACTTTCAGCCATTTAGGTTAAATAATAACTTCTACTAGACACAACTACATTTTTTTTCATGACCATGTATCTGATTCAACACAATCTAATCCTACTCCTCCCTAACTGGTGTAGACTCAGGGTGAGATCACATTTGGTCATTTACAGATCATAACTCTAACGGCCCTAGGAGTGAGTTGTACACTGAAACATGTTCCTAAAATCCTCCTGCCAAAGATCCTTATATTATCAATGGCAGGAGTATCATGCATTAGAAGTCTTTGGCAAAAGACTGAATTCAACACACAAGACTTGGTGTGTATAAGACTCTTTGATAAGTATTCTCAGATTCATCTGAGTAATGAATTACAGCAGTAATTCAGAGAAAGGATTTGGAGCTTTGTAAGCCATCAAGAAAAAAAGTCCTTCACCTAGATTGTAAAGTTGTTGAAGAAAGAAAGTCTTCATTGTTCTCTCCCCCCACCCCCATTCAAAGGAACAGGAAGACAGAGGTGTTAAATAAGTCAAGTATTTACTTTCTGTCCAAAAATTTAGTCTGTTTGTTTGCCTTTTTCTGAGCTGAGCTACAACCAATATTTTTTTAAAGGAGTTTGTTGTTTTTTTTAGGTACAAGCCAGTTATGATGTGACATGCTATGAAAATATTTTCTACCTGTTCTGGGTTCTGGAGCAGCTTCTTCAAAAGGAAACCAAAGAAGGCAACACTTCAAGTATCGGGCATGATGACCAAGAAATCAGGAAATTTCTTCAGAAGCATGATGAAACTATTTTCCAACTCTCCGATGCATTTCCTTTATTTACTTTTTATTTATGGCGATTGGGCATTCTCTTGAACTCAGTAGAGACAGAAACTGTTGAAAATAACTCACTTCCTTAGCAATTTACCAAATATCAGAAGCATACTAAAGTTCAATATATGAAGATCTTGTGCTTAAAAGATTTTCAAGAATATTTTTAAGTGACCATTTTAAATAGACCTCTAGATATAATCATTAATTTAATTTAATAGTCTTAGATTGCATATAAAAGATTATGAGTCATATTTCTATACTAAAATCATCCAGTTTCAGTTGAGAATGCCCTCTGTATTCCCATGTACCTGTATCTTACAGTATGTTACCCAACATAGTCTAGCTCTATTATTCTCTAAAATGGAGCATTAATTGTCTATCTCATAAACGGTATTTACATTTTAAAAGATTTCCATGTAATAGATACTAAAAGGTATCAGAAGAGATCTTAAAAGTTTTGTTGCTTTATCAACCCAGTATTTAAAATAAGTGGTTATAAATGAGATTTTTTAAACTTTTTTTTTCTTACATAATTTCACTTTTATCATTGTCTCTCATCTTAGAGGGGACTTGTGTAGAAGGAGAAATGTTTTTAACATTTGTAAACCTAATGACCTTTAATTTGATATAATCAATATATTTGTCAACTTCTTTTGAAAGTACTAATTAGTTGTTTAAAATGTTCTGTTTGTTTTTCAGCAAATGTTTGATTCTGCTATAATGTTGCTTATCTATAATATTCCTGTTTTGGTTAAAACGTAGTTGTCATGTGTAATTAAGTCTTTAAGAATATTTTTACAAGTTCTAACATCTACCAGAAATATACTTTATACTGATTGTTAGAAGTATATTTATACTTATTAAAAATATAGGTTGAATTTTTCAGTTACACAGTTTCATTGATTTTATTTCAATTATTAAAATTATAACCAACTAACTTAATGAGCACACATTATGTGCTGTCCTATAGTGCAATTTAGGGCACAACAAATACAAATTTGCTTTATTAATTGTGTATGATATTGTTTCATAAGTTAGTTACCATTCCTAAATGCCATTGGTATTTAAAAAAACACAACAATGTATATAAAATCAAATCATTATCTGCCACAGTTATTTTTGGAGTTATTTCTAGCTTTCTAGAAAAGATAAGCCTTTTTTACAATACTGAAACTCAACGTGTGTATTGGTCAGCTATTGCTATGTGACAGACAACCACAAACTCTCAGTGGCATACAACAATAGATGTTTATTTCTCGGGTGTCGGCGGTTCATCCGGGGATCAGCTCATCTGAACTGCTCTGCTGGAAAGCTCTGCTCAGGTTGCAGATCCCACTGAGCTGGGCTCCTCCTTGTAAACTGGGCTTTGGTCTCTTCCACATGTGCTTATTCTGGGGCCCACGTTGAGGGGAAGCAGCTACTCAGGGGCAGCTCTTCTGTGGCAGTGGCAGATTGGCAAGAGGGAAAGGGCTAGGCTGAGAAATGTCACACTGTTACTTCTGCCCATGTGCACTAGCTGAAGTACATCAAATGGTCGAGCCCAAAGAAGAGGAACAGAGAAGTACCCTCCCCCTTGAGTAGGAGAACTTGCAAAGTTACATGGCAAAGGGCATGGATATAGGAGAGGGTGGAGAATTGGGGCAAATAATTTGATAAGTGAGCAACAGCAATGGCCCTTTTTTCACTACGGCCAGCCATGAACCAAAGAAGCCTTTTGTAACTAGAACAGATTTCTTAATTCCAGTAGTCTTCAAAGCTTCAAGGTCTGACAGTTATCCTAGGAAATGTATTTATTATCGAAGAAGAGACAAGATGTTGGGATTATCATTAATGTACAAAATGGAGATACATTTTATTTCTATGTGGTATTATTTTTATAATTGACTTAACTTCAGTCAATTATATGGTACCTAACCCTTCATTATTCTGTGTTTCAGCCTATAAGAGTGTTAACTGTGCAGTAAATTTAGTCTTGAGATCTAAATCTCCTGCTGCTGAAAAGATAAAATGAGACTTTGTGTGTTTCACTAAAGCAGTGAAAGATAGCGAATGAAAGAATAAATGAATGATTTAAACTAGAATTAACAATATTTATGAATATTGTAGCAATTAAGATTTGATTAATGTCCAACTTTACAATTAAGATTTTGGGGATAAGAATAATGGAGATAGTAGAAATTAGGCAATGCTGAAATTGGATATAGAATAGGATGGGAAATGAAGAGGACCAGAGAACAATCCTAAAAATGGAAGAAATAATAAAAATGATAGGTGCTAACACTCAGAGTATTTATTATATATTTTATGTATATATTAATAAAAATTATATATACACACATATAAAATAGATGCCAGGCACTATCTAAGCATTTTACATATATTAAACTCATTTGATTCTTCCAACAACCCTATGCAATAAGTAACATTATTATCCCCCTTTTCGAGATAAGGAACTCAGGCAAAGGAATGTTAAACAACTTGCGGCAGTTTACACAACCGGGAAGTGGAAGACAGGTTCCGCCCCCCGGAGTTCTGTCTTCCTAGTCCACACTCCCAGTCACTGTGCTCCACGGCCTGTTCAGTGAAAGCTGTCCTGTCGCTTCACGAAACTTTCACAAATACCACTTCTTTGTGATTGTCCTCAGACGTTTGTGTGCCCTCCGCTACAAATCTTGTAGCACGGCAGTTCATTATTAGCTTCTTTTGATTCTAAAGCCCCTGCAGAGCAGCTGTCCCGTCTACCGCCATCTCGGAGCTACAGCATCTTTGTCCTTTTCTGGATTGTAGGATTTTACTATTGTCAAGACTCGATAGGGAAGTTACAGATCATCTTCAAACATCAATGTTCTAAAGGTGGGCAGGTTGACTCTCGGGCTGCAGTGGTCAGCCCAGAGGGGGAGGGACAAAACCTGATTGTTTTATCCTTGGATCTATCAATAGATACATTCTTTCACAAGCTGTTGTACTTTTCAGTCATATTTGTTTGTGTCCTATAGTTAAGGGCAGTATATTCCTAGAGAGGCAAGGGAAAAAGCCATTCACATTTCCAGATTTTTATGTACATTTGTAGATCTTTTAAAAATATTGATGGCTCTGGCTTATGATAACCTGGTTTAATTTAGTCATCAAATGTCAAGCACCAACTTTGTGTGTGAACCAGTTATTTGCACATATAAAAAATAAGCATACTAAGTTTTATCTTTTATCATATTTATAAAAGAGAAGTTTTCTTTTAGCAGTTAATGTAACAACCCAACAACATCAATAGTATGTATTTGCTGAAGGAGATAATTAGGGCAATAACGTTTACCAAATACAGAAAAAAAGGATACAGGATGTTTATTATTATTGAAATTCAATTCATTCTTTTTAAATTATTTATAGAGTTGGACAACACTAAATTTGGTCAATGAATGAGCTATTCTTTCAACAACTGTCTAGTTATTACAGATTATAGTTGACACATGGGAAATGACCTTGGCCTCTTGTTTATTTTTCATTTAATCTGAAAGTCCTCTAAGTTGTTTTAAGAATCTGTCACTAATAGGAAGCAAAGCTTGTAAGAAGAAATATGAGTCTAACTTTCAAGATGTCGAAATAATTCAATTTTAAAATTCATAGATATATACTCTGAATTTGTAATATTTTCTTGTGATATTTTAATCTAATTTTTGTTGTAGCTGCTTAACTGGTTGGTGAACTTCTGCTGCATTTTAGTCTGCTGCATTTTAGAACATTGTAAGTGTTCCGCAGCCAATCCACTGGGGCATCGAGGTGTACAGACAGTAGCATTAACCTTAGTTCCCCCATCTGTATATAAAGTGGTGGTTCCCAAATGTGGTCCCTGGGCTGGCAGCATCAGGAACACTTGGCAACCGGTTGGAAATACGAATTCTAGGGCCCCACTGCAGACTTACTCCAGAATCTGAAAGGGGAGGGTGGAGCCCACAAATCCATGTTGCATCAAGTCCTCTAGGTGATTCTGATGCCTACTTATGATTGAGAACCACGACTATCATCATCGGCCTTACTGAACAGGGGGGCTTAATACATATAAAATCATTCAGAAAGTAGAAATTCAGTCATCCCAAATTACTTAACTGAATTTTTTAACTTCCCCTATGTGTGCCTTAAAATTTCAAAGGAGGATTTTGGACAATTATTCATGATTTACTTAAAATGAGTAGCAAATTTATAAACATATCAGTCAACCTTAATAGCACTTTAAAAAATTAGCATCTTTACACTTAGTTTTTAGTTCCTTCACTAAAATAATTATTCCCTATTGGTGGTATTTTAAAAAATTATTATAATCCAAGTTTAAGAAATATAAATAAATGACATCTTTCTGCATTAGTCCTGGTATAGAGTGATAAACAGGTGGAGAGATGCAGACATGATGTTACTTTATTCTTGAGATATTAGACATCCCAAATAATATCAGAATATTCATCTTATTCCAGGAGATGTGTTTTGTGTGTGTGTGTGAGGAAGATCAGCCCTGAGCTAACATCCATGCTCCTCTTTTTGCTGGGGAAGACCGGCTCTGAGCTAACATCTATTGCCCATCCTCCTCCTTCCCCCCGCCCCGCCGTAGCCCCAGTAGATAGTTGTATGTCATAGCTGCACATCCTTCTAGTTGCTGTATGTGGGACGCGGCCTCAGCATGGTCGGAGAAGCGGTGTGTCGGTGCGCGCCCGGGATCCGAACCCAGGCCGCCAGCAGCGGAGCGCGCGCACTTAACCACTAAGCCACGGGGCCGGCCCCCAGGAGATCTGTTTTTATACATATCGTAAATATGGCTTAGTTATAAAGGTATTATTCTATTTCACCCTCGAGATGAAATTCTATCTTCTTTAAATCCTGCTGGAATGTGGTGAGATATAAATGAATAATAGTGAACGGCTGCTTGTTCTCCACTCTTGTACTTAACTGATTTCCCCCACTTTGAATCATTACCACGTCGCTGTGAGCTCCGAGGTGCCTAAGGACGGCACCCCTGACATGACGAGGGGACAGAGCCATCACTGCTTTTAGCTTTAGCAACTTAACTAAGACATTTTCATGAACGATTAATCATTTCTGGAACACTAGCAACGCCAGACACTCAACCTGCAGGGAAA